AAAAAAAAAGACAACAAAAACATCCACACAAAACAAAACCAGAACAAAAAAAAAACTTCTCCCTAGTATCTAATATAAATCTATCCTCCTTTGATTTAAAATTATTTTCCCTTGTCCTATCACTGTTTACCTTTGTAAAAAGTTGACTTCCATCCTGTTTTAGAATCTCCCTGTAATCGCTGTATAAGAAAGAGCATAAGGGGATTAGTTTGTATTTGATTTCAGTGCTTTCAAGCTAATTGGCTCAATTTGTTAGCCAACTGACCGGTAAATGAGAGAACACATAGGATGTTCACAGAGGGGCAAGTTGTCACTTTGAAATTTGACATTTTTCTTTCCACAGATGAATATTAAATATCAAATACTCCTACTAAATTCCAAAGGATTGAGAATCAGAGTTAAATTAACCGAAGGGTACTGGAAGCAAACCTATAGAAAGTGGTCAGTGGAGAAAAAAACCCAAAACACTGAACAAAATGACATCTATGGTATATGAAGTGGTATTGTGCTTAGTTTTTCTTTTAATTTCCTTTCAATTAATCAGTTCTTTCCTTGTTCTCCTCCTTTGTTTAGTTTGACTGAAGGAAAGCAATTATGTCATTTCAGTAGTTATCAACAAGTAGGCTGGGACAACATCTTTGCTGCTTATTTACTTAATGATGAAATGGAACTCATTTAGTGCTTTCCTTTCAGTCTTTTGTCATGTGTTTTTTTAAAATTCATTAATGATCAACTTTATGAAAAGTTCCTTTTATAAAAGACTGAGGGAGAAATATATGTATTACATATTTCATTAAATAAAGTTCAGAAATGAGTGGAAGGTATGCAAGACAAGGAACCTAAGTACCCAAATGAATAAAGTACCTATTTTCACCTATTTATTTCAAACTACTACTTATGCTACCCAAAACCTGGGTACTGAGGCTCGTAAGCCTTTTAGTATCAGAGTAAGCAATTTTAATTGCAAAGACTTTTCTCTTTCAATCTTTTTCTAATAAAACAATAACAATGAGGACATTCAATTAAATTAGTTAATTTATATTATCTTGTCATATTTTCACTTTGACATAATACAGAATGATAGCCAGTAGCTGAATGAGAAGTATAAGTGAAGAAAAGAGCATTTCTATACCTACACAATATATCGCTTGTGAATTATAACAGACTGAACAAAATCAGTAAAACAGTAAAATTTGAATCACTGAACTTTCTCTTTGTAGATTAAGGGAATTGAAAGTGATAGTCCTGTTTGACATCAATTTGATGAGTCAATGTTTTTGTTTCCAGCTAATTTCATTTCAGTTGTTGAAAATAATATACGATAATTTCATGTTTTTCTTGAGGTTTTTTCCCCATTTGCTGTTTTTTTTTTTTTTTTTTTTTCTTTTCTTTTCTTCTGCCACTATGGTCTTTAAATATTACCACTGAAAGAATTTTTGACCATCTGACCACCTGTATTTCAATGGCAAGTTTCAATTTTACTCTGAAGTTCAGGTGTAAAAATGAAAACTTGTTTCAGATCTACCTAATTCAAGATAATTTTGGGAACATATTCAAAGAAGAAACTATCTTGCAGTTCAACAAAATGTATGGTTGTTTCTTGAGATTCATTTCAAATCCCTTGAATTGTGTTTTCCATAAGAGAACTTAGCTTAATATTTTAGTTAACTTTCAGTAACACTTAATGTTTAACATATTTTTCAAACTTGTTTAATAAATTAAAATGAAAAATATTGGGAATATCAAAGAATATTTATTACTTTAATAAAAAATGAATTAAGTAATTTAAAATTTTCTAATTTTGTGGGGTCTTAAAAAATCTTTCAATATGGAGAAATGCTAGTACATTAGAAACCACAATAATAATGATTTATTCTGCAACTTTAAATAGCTTTACAGTGGCTTTCCAGCTAACTTCATTCCTAGCAATTTTTTTTTTCTGGTAAGCTTCTTTTTAACACTTTTTCTGTGTGTGTGTGTTTTTAATTTTACCTTAGCCAACTAGTAATACCTAAATTATCTTTGAAGCTGTTCATACAGATGTTCTACTATTTCTAAGGAGAAAAATCTATGCAAGAAATATCCATTGTTACTAAACCTTGATTTTGATGTATCCTGAAAAATGCTGAAAGTGGGTGTCTGCTACTGGTTGGTTCTCTATGGGGAGCAATTCTTGAACTTGCTTAACAGCTCTCCAGCTGTTCCTTCTCAAACCGCTGTGCTGTTTATCTCTCAGTGGGGCTGCTTAAACTGTAAGGTGATGCTGGAAGTGATCATTGTACTGGTTAGTTTGCTGCTCATCTGAAAACAGGAAAACCAGGCAGTAACAAATATCTTGATTCTGCTTATTTCCTAGAGCAAGGAGGCTTGTGAAACTACTGCTGGAGCAAAAGCCACCTGATCACCTTCCCCCCACTCCTTCCAAACTCTCTCCCTGAAGTTCCTTCCAGTCTCTCCTTTGGCATTGTCTCTGAGCATCCAGATAATTTTTTAAGTGAGTAATTTCATTGACTTTGGTAGGATAACTTGAATATGTAAAGCTAGACATATTTGAGTACTTTATTGAATCAGGGACCAATTTTTCATAATTTTCTCTTTATTTTTAATCTAAATGAGTGGGTCAGTCTCAGGAACCAGATGTCTTACTCTCAGAACTCTGTACTTTGTCAGTTGTAATCAGCCCATACTCTAGTTGGTTTTGTTTTTTTTTTAAACAAACATTTATTTGATGGTGTGGTGGCATTAGTGGACAAAGAAAGGGCAACTGATGTTAGCAACCTGTTCAAGGCCTTCGGCATGGTTCAGTACCACATTCTCATCTCTTAATTGGAGAAATATGGATTTAAAGGATGCACTATTTGGTGGATAAAGTATTGATTGGATGGTCATAGAGGGTTGTGGTAAACAGCTCTTGTCTGGATGAAGGCTGGACACGAGTGGTGTTCCCCAGTGGTCTATCTTGAGACCAGTGCTTTTCAATATCTTTATCAGTGACGTAGACAGTGGATTTAGTACACCCTTGACAAGTTTGGTGACAACAAGAAGATGAGTGATGCAGTTGATACAACAGAAGGACCTGGAGGTTTGAAAAGTGGGCCCATGACAATATAATGAGGTTCAACATGGTTGAATGAGGTTGTACTTGATTCAGGGCAAACCCAGATATGTGCCCAGACTAGTCAAAGAACTCAATGAAAGCAGCCCTGCAGAGAAAGATTTGGAGATCCTGGTCGATGAAAAGCTGGGCGTGAGCCAACAGTGTGCATTTGCAACCCAGAAGTAAATGCCTCCTATTTATTTCCATGGCAACTACAAAAGATAAAAAGAACACAATAACATTATTTGATAGAGGAAATTCTCAGCTGCAAAACACTATTTTTCAATGTAATCACCACTATTAGCTGTGCGTTTTTGCCAGCAATAAGTAAGAGCCTGCATGCCACTCTCTTAAAAATCTGCATTGCCCTCCAGAATGTGGCTTGTTTTTCACATCACTGTCGTCACTGCTGAAATGCACCATCTACCACCTCACTGTGTAGTCTTCAGAAACCTTCAGCAAGCATCCATGGATGTCAAAGAGTATAATGTTTCCTGCGTGGAAGAATTCAATGACATACCTTTGCTTCATATTAGGTTCCATGTTAGACTCCAATTTAGTCAGACTGCCCGTCTGTTGCTATCTGTTACACAGCTATAAGGTGTAATGGAATGCTGATGGGAAAGTTCAGCCTCTCCTGCCATACCACTACCATCTACCTCTGATGTCAATGGCCAACATAATAAAAAGGAGGCATTACTTTTGGAGCAATTCTTGTAGATGATATTTAAGATTCCTTTCACCCTAAACGATTCTATCATTCTGATTTTTTTTTTTAATGACATGAAGCTGGGCGAAGGGTTTTTAAAATATTGAAGAAACTCTTTGTAAGCTTTGAGAATGGATAATTCTTATTGTGCAAATTTACTTGGTCTATAGGATTTCTAAATTGTAAACACAGATAAATGTTCTCCGAAAGTCATTATTTGCCATCATATTCATGTTTTGCTTGATGTTATATCTCTTCAGAAACTTTTTCAGATACTTCTACAGAGGATTTAGTATTAGCTTGTTAGTATTATGAGCAAGTGTAAGTGCACCTTGAAATAAGCAAATATTTTCATTCATTTGTCATTACGTTCAACCTAACCAATATTAATAGTCAGAATTCAACCAATCATTTAAATTTGTTAATATTTACAGTTTTTGTTATCAGAAAATGTTGGTTAGAAGCTCTCAAGAGTTAAGCAATTGAGTGATTCTTATGACATTTAGTTCCAGTAGAGCTGCTACAGAAAGTTGACTAAATTTTTGTAGCCACAATATTTTTATTTAGAAAAGGAATACCAATAGTCAGTGGTCCACAGCTAGTCTTTAATTTGTTTATTTTCCCAATATTACTGGGAGATTACAAATCTTATTAGGACTCAAGCTGTAATAACAGTGATACTAGGTACAGAGGTCATGGCAGAAATGTAGAGATCAATTCATTAGAAAAGAACTACACCACTTCCATTTTATAACACTTTATTTTTTTTGGTTGTTTAATAGCTGTAAAAAAACTGTTTTTAAATTAATAGGCAATCCAAATGATAGAGAATTTCTTGACCAGATCTTGTAAAATATTTGAAATCTACAAAACAAAAGAGGGCAGGATCACATGTCCAAGGTTTTTCAACTTGTATGCACAGTAGCCTCTATGTACTTCTTATGTCCATCATTGCAAAGATTACTTTAATTCCATGTTCTTTTTTGTTTAATGTAGTCCTTTTTATCAGAAATAGTTTACTCTTAAAGTCAGCCATAAAAATGATCACATTTTCAAAGATAAAATATCCACCATCTAATCCATTTTCACATCTGCATAAAGGAAACTCTATGATAACAATGCATTTTCTCAATTAATTGTATTCTGTATATAGTGTTTCACAAGTTTTCAGGAGGAAAGTATAACAGATAACTTTATTCACACCTTCCATTAACTAAGAGGGAAAGTTTTATTCCTTTCTTCCTTAGCTTGCTAAAGTTCCTATCTTACTTTCTAGTTGTCTTTTTCATACAACTTTCTTAAATTGATTACTGTATGAAATTTTTGATAGGATCAAGCAGATTTTTAGCCGTATACCTTTCTAAAAGTACACTGTTCTAAGAAAAAAGGCAATGTTCCATTTGACTTTTTTTTTTTTTTGCAAAGCATCTCTGTTTCTTAACCTTAAAGTATTCTATTCTATGTCCTGCTCTTTTATCTTTTTATCTGTTAAGAGTTTTTGATGGCATTGACAATAGAAAAGTATCTTTCCATGCATTTCCTCATTTTCCTTGGTCAGATTTAAATACTGTTCTTCCCTCATGCGTTCCTTGTAATTTTAGTATGGATTTCTCCTAGGTTCCTCTTCTCATTATGTTTGTTTTAAAGCAGTGTGAGCAATCGGTACATCTCATTGAATGTCTTTTACAAAACTTTTTTCCCTTTTTGAGTGGCTGTCATTGGTGCACAAACTGCTCTAAGATACTGTTGCTGCTGTGTAAGCTGCACAGCTCTTATTTGTATTTGCAATTCTAATAACCTTGTCATTGTCCTTTTTGTTGCCATTGGAAAGTTTTGCTGACTGAGTAAATTAATGTACTGAATCTTCTGCCTTTAAAACCTGCAATCAAGTCTGTTGTGAGGCAGAAATGATTTTTCTTTTTTCTTTTTTTTTTTTTTTTTTTTGGCAGTCTTACCCCAGTCTTTCCTTGAATTTCTATTCCGGAATAAAGCATAACATAGAATAATTGCCCTTTCCTGCTTTGGTTTGAGTGTCAGGGATGCTGCAGGTCAAGGCTGAAGTATGTAAAAGCTTGCTCAGCTCATTGCTACTCTTTGTTTTACCATGTTAGATTTCTTGTAATGGATTCTTGAAATCGTTTATAAGGAAACAGTAAGCTAAACTTCTCATGAGGAGAAAGACTAGCACAAAGACGAGAGGATTTTTGCCTTCATATAATTTCCCAGAAGCACAAAAAATTGACTTTTCTTAACTTTTTTCTGGTTCCCACTGTATATTCGTCCTTTGGTTTAGATCTTTAAACTAAAACATTAAAGTTTTAAAAATTTCTTTGTACATGATATGAAAGGTTAGTGATTGCATTGTTTCACTGTGTCATGTTGTTCAGGTTTTATGTAGTAAGAATAGAATATAGATCTTCTTAAAGCATGCAGAAATTCTTAAAGCATGCAGCATTGCAAGATATACAATACTTAACATGTTAATTTACTAAATATGCTATCCAGTGCAGTAGTTTTATTTGAATGCCATCAACTTGGGTAATGATAACATGGTTAGTCTGCATTAATTATTCATTTAGTTTTACAGCTTTATTGTGCACTTGTTTGTAATGAACCAGATAAATTTGGCTTCTGTTATTTGAAGTCATAAAGCAAAACAGATCTACCTTTTGTTTCTGGGTGAGTAACCCTGATGCTTTCTCTCTGTTAAACTGTACTTGTGTTATTGTTTCCTAATGATGCAAGGTATAATAAAGATTTCAGAGAAATATTTAAGCACATTGCAAGTGCTAATGATGCAGATGTTGAAATCTTGGCAGCATCTTTCTATCTATATAGCAGTCGAGTATCTACCAATTTACTGAGAGAGAGAATGAAAAGCTGAGAGGGTAGATGACATCTTCCAGGTCATTTCTGTAAGAGTAGATGATTTGCACTTTGGCATATGATTGTGAGCAGGTTACTAAAGGAGAAAACTCTTATAAACAGCGTGATAGCGTAAAGTGCACCAGTTGTCTTCCCAGTTAAAATACACTGAAAGGAAATGACAGCTGTGCAGAGGATAATTGAGACTTTAAAAATCTTCTGTTTTATATCAAGCAGGAACATCAGATGCAGGAGGTTCTTTCTTGCATGCACATTCTCTTTTAGCTTCCGTATCCTGCTCTTTTTCAGCACACCTGGTTTACCTCTTTCATTGATCAAGGTGAGAATCCTCTACTTCCCATGCTATTCTCTCTCTTTTCTCTCTATCTCTCTTGTTTAAAATGTAGATTGGGATCTGTGGGAAGACAAGATTGTTATTTTTTTTTCTCCTAGTTAATTCCAGTGACTGCCCATGCAATTCAGAAGTTTTAATAGCTTAGAACTAAAACTGTTTTATTTTCCTTTGTGATTTAAGCCACCAAATATTTTTGTTACCATAAATCCAAAATTACCCTTTTGTTTCTCCAACCAGTTGTATTTATGTTACTAAATAGAAATGAAACATAACTTTCTCCACATTGAAGTTTACTCAGTGGAAACCATCCTCCCTGACAGAGATCTGGTGTCCTCAAAAAATTTAGCTCAGTGGATGATTTTAGATGACTATGAGCGTTATGGTCATTATGGTATTATTCAAAGTAGGTAGTGCTGAATGGTTTTCTGGTTGTAAATTTTCCTCTTTATATATTTTCTCTTTTCACTA